AGCAGATATTTATATAAATTGAAAAAATATAACCTAAGTAATTTTAGACCAAAAACCATTCCACCATGCTATAATAGATACAGTGAGAATTGAACCTATACAGACCTGACCCCAAGGTGAAACCACTTCATTTTAGAATAAAATGTTAAGTACTTAACGTAATTTGTTAAAATGTATAGACATTATATGCGCAAATTAATATAACTTGTAATAGCTTAACCTAGTTAGAGGTTGGGCATAGACCGTTCCAGCGTTCATTAATAGAAACGATGGAAAATTAACTTGTACAAAACTGACCCCAAGGTGAAACCACTTCACATTGAAAGCAATTGTTTTTTACTTAACATAATTTATGATAAGCCTTAACATTATTAGCAGATATTTATATTAATTGAAAAAATATAACCTAAGTAATTTTAGACCAAAAACCATTCCACCATGCTATAATAGATACAGTGAGAATTGAACCTATACAGACCTGACCCCAAGGTGAAACCACTGCACATTAAGGGCAGTTGTTATTTACATAACGTAATTTGTTAAATCTCTTTGACATTAATTACTATAATTAATATAACTTGTAATAGCTTAACCTAGTTGGAGGTTGGGCATAGACCGTTCCAGCGTACATTAATAGACACAATGGAAAATTAACCTGTACAGAACTGACCCCAAGGTGAAACCACTTCACATTGAAAGCAATTGTTTTTTACTAAACATAATTTTACAGACCTGACCCCAAGGTGAAACCACTTCATTTTAGAATAAAATGTTAAGTACTTAACGTAATTTGTTAAAATGTATAGACATTATATGCGCAAATTAATATAACTTGTAATAGCTTAACCTAGTTGGAGGTTGGGCATAGACCGTTCCAGCGTACATTAATAGACACAATGGAAAATTAACCTGTACAGAACTGACCCCAAGGTGAAACCACTTCACAGTGAATGAAAATGTTAAATACTAAACATAATTAATGATAAGCCTTAACATTATTAGCAGATATTTATATTAATTGAAAAAATATAACCTAAGTAATTTTAGACCAAAAACCATTCCACCATGCTATAATAGATACAGTGAGAATTGAACCTATACAGACCTGACCCCAAGGTGAAACCACTGCACATTAAGGGCAGTTGTTATTTACATAACGTAATTTGTTAAATCTCTTTGACATTAATTACTATAATTAATATAACTTGTAATAGCTTAACCTAGTTGGAGGTTGGGCATAGACCGTTCCAGCGTACATTAATAGACACAATGGAAAATTAACCTGTACAGAACTGACCCCAAGGTGAAACCACTTCACATTTTAACCTAGTTGGAGGTTGGGCATAGACCGTTCCAGCGTTCATTAATAGACACAATGGAAAATTAATCTGTACAGAACTGACCCCAAGGTGAAACCACTTCACAGTGAATGAAAATGTTAAATACTAAACATAATTAATGATAAGCCTTAACATTATTAGCAGATATTTATATTGATTGAAAAAATATAACCTAAGTAATTTTAGACCAAAAACCATTCCACCATGCTATAATAGATACAGTGAGAATTGAACCTATACAGACCTGACCCCAAGGTGAAACCACTTCATATTGAAAAAATATAACCTAAGTAATTTTAGACCAAAAACCATTCCACCATGCTATAATAGATACAGTGAGAATTGAACCTATACAGACCTGACCCCAAGGTGAAACCACTTCATTTTAGAATAAAATGTTAAGTACTTAACGTAATTTGTTAAAATGTATAGACATTATATGCGCAAATTAATATAACTTGTAATAGCTTAACCTAGTTAGAGGTTGGGCATAGACCGTTCCAGCGTTCATTAATAGAAACGATGGAAAATTAACTTGTACAAAACTGACCCCAAGGTGAAACCACTTCACATTAAAAGCAATTGTTTTTTACTTAACATAATTAATGATAAACTTTAACATTATTAGCAGATATTTATATAAATTGAACAAATATAACCTAAGTAATTTTAGACCAAAAACCATTCCACCATGCTATAATAGATACAGTGAGAATTGAACCTATACAGACCTGACCCCAAGGTGAAACCACTTAGCAGATATTTATATAAATTGAAAAAATATAACCTAAGTAATTTTAGACCAAAAACCATTCCACCATGCTATAATAGATACAGTGAGAATTGAACCTATACAAACCTGACCCCAAGGTGAAACCACTGCACATTAAAGGCAGTTGTTATTTACATAACGTAATTTGTTAAATCTCTTTGACATTAATTACTATAATTAATATAACTTGTAAAAGCTTAACCTAGTTGGAGGTTGGGCATAGACCGTTCCAGCGTACATTAATAGACACAATGGAAAATTAATCTGTACAGAACTGACCCCAAGGTGAAACCACTTCACAGTGAATGAAAATGTTAAATACTATAGATATTTATATTGATTGAAAAAATATAACCTAAGTAATTTTAGACCAAAAACCATTCCACCATGCTATAATAGATACAGTGAGAATTGAACCTATACAGACCTGACCCCAAGGTGAAACCACTTCACATTGAAAGCAATTGTTAAATACTAAACGTAATTTGTTAAATCTCTTTGACATTAATTACTATAATTTATATAACTTGTAAAAGATTAACCTAGTTGGAGGTTGGGCATAGACCGTTCCAGCGTTCATTAATAGACACAATGGAAAATTAATCTGTACAGAACTGACCCCAAGGTGAAACCACTTCACAGTGAATGAAAATGTTAAATACTATTGGAGGTTGGGCATAGACCGTTCCAGCGTACATTAATAGACACAATGGAAAATTAACCTGTACAGAACTGACCCCAAGGTGAAACCACTTCACATTGAAAGCAATTGTTATTTACTTAACGTAATTTGTTAAATCTCTTTGACATTAATTACGCTAATTTATATAACTTGTACAAACTTAACCTAGTTGGAGGTTGGGCATAGACCGTTCCATCGTTAATTAATAGAAACAATGGAAAATTAACCTGTACAGAACTGACTTCAAGGTGAAACCACTTTACAGTGAATGAAAATGTTAAATACTAAATGTAATTTGTTAAATCCCTTTGACATTAATTATGCTTATTTATATAACTTGTACAAACTTAACCTAGTTGGAGGTTGGGCATAGACCGTTCCAGCGTACATTAATAGACACAATGGAAAATTAACCTGTACAAAACTGACCCCAAGGTGAAACCACTTCACATTGAAAGCAATTGCTTTTTACTTAACATAATTTATGATAAGCCTTAACATTATTAGCAGATATTTATATTAATTGAAAAAATATAACCTAAGTAATTTTAGACCAAAAACCATTCCACCATGCTATAATAGATACAGTGAGAATTGAACCTATACAAACCTGACCCCAAGGTGAAACCACTGTACATTAAAGGCAGTTGTTAAATACTAAACGTAATTTGTTAAATCTTTTTGACATTAATTACTATAATTTATATAACTTGTAAAAGCTTAACCTAGTTGGAGGTTGGGCATAGACCGTTCCAGCGTACATTAATAGACACAATGGAAAATTAACCTGTACAAAACTGACCCCAAGGTGAAACCACTTCACATTGAAAGCAATTGTTTTTTACTTAACATAATTTATGATAAACCTTAACATTATTAGCAGATATTTATATAAATTGAAAAAATATAACCTAAGTAATTTTTGGAGGTTGGGCATAGACCGTTCCAGCGTACATTAATAGACACAATGGAAAATTAACCTGTACAGAACTGACCCCAAGGTGAAACCACTTCACATTGAAAGCAATTGTTTTTTACTTAACATAATTTATGATAAGCCTTAACATTATTAGCAGATATTTATATTAATTGAAAAAATATAACCTAAGTAATTTTAGACCAAAAACCATTCCACCATGCTATAATAGATACAGTGAGAATTGAACCTATACAGACCTGACCCCAAGGTGAAACCACTTCATTTTAGAATAAAATGTTAAGTACTTAACGTAATTTGTTAAAATGTATAGACATTAATAGCGCAAATTAATATAACTTGTAAACACTTAACCTAATTTGTTTTTGACGCTTTACCGTTCCACCATGCTCAAATAAATACAGTGAGAAATAATCTACACAGACCTGGTTCCAAGGTGAAACCACTTTACAATTAAAAGTTATATTGTATACTTAACGAAAATTTATAATATAATTTAGATATTAATAGTGCGAATTGAAATGTACAATTTGTGTCCAATAAATTAATAATTAAACCCCGATTTTTATTTTTGGTAATCGACTAAATGAAACATTCGTTAATAATAAAATCTATTAATTAATAAAAATGCATAAAAGTAAAGATATTTCTAAAAAATTAAAAGATTTTTAATTAGACCTTTAGTTTAGGTGTAACTGTGTATATTTTTAGATTATAATTTTTAAATTATAACGTTAAATATTTATTTTACAAAATATAAAATTTGTGCATGTAACATACACCGTAAAATACATAGTAAATTACATAGGTAAAATACAAGATTTGTCATATAACCAACCTTAGTTTTGACTATCAATCTATTTATATTATTTTAATTAATGTTATTATAAATGATTTGAAAATCTGTTTAATCTGTTTTTATAAATCAGATTTATTTTGTGTTTTATACCATGATAATTCAATTGGCTTAATAACTTGAAAATCAACGTGCACTCCATTTTAGAATCATATCTTTTGTGTAGAATAGTATTAAGTTAAATATGAATTTTAATATTATTTGATATCACGATAACCTCGTGTTATTTAGTGTTACCATTAGTTACTTTGATAAAAATATTTTATCAAAACTTTTGTTATGCCTTTAATGCTATTAATCCTTAATTATTTCTAAATATCAAGTCTTAAGTATTTATTAAATTAATTTTTAAGCACATAATTATAACTAAAATGAGTGATTTTTTGTCGCCCAATATCAAAGTTGTTAACACTGATGACTGTGACAATCATATTACACAACACCCGGTAAATATTTATTAAAATGTACATGATCAATTGAATTAAAATTAGTTACACTGATTAAATGCGAATTAGTCAATACCCTATTACGAGGCCATACCGTTGGGTGGCATCGCTCCGGGATATGTGATCATAATTCAGGGCACAATTCCCGACGGGAGTCGACGGTATGTAAAGTTATATTTGTTAATAATTATAACAAATAATCGAAAAACTATTATTTTGTGGCAAAACATTAGATTCTCGTTGAATCTGATGGTCGGTTCGGTGATCACCGAAGAGCTCAAGACATCGGCGGACATAGCCTTACACTTCAACGCCCGCTTTGACGAGACAATTGTCATCAGAAACAGCCGTCAGAATGAGCTCTGGGGCGGACNTATTATTTTGTGGCAAAACATTAGATTCTCGTTGAATCTGATGGTCGGTTCGGTGATCACCGAAGAGCTCAAGACATCGGCGGACATAGCCTTACACTTCAACGCCCGCTTTGACGAGACAATTGTCATCAGAAACAGCCGTCAGAATGAGCTCTGGGGCGGACAGGAGGCTGAGCTGCGAGTCATGCCATACACGGCGGGCGCGCACTTTGAGACCATGATTCTGGTCGACCACAACGGCTATAACGTGACGGTCAACGGACACCACTTTTGCCGATACGCGCACCGCATATCGCCGGCAGTGGTCGGCGTGTTTGGTGTTGAGGGCGACATACAGTTGGCTAGTGTTGAGTACCGGCGTCAGTGGTGTCGACCATCGCTTACGAGACGGCCATCACATGACGGCATTCAGATAGTGAGGCCCCGACTCCCGTTCCACCACTGGTTCCCGGAGGGTTTGAAACCGGGACACGGGCTGAAAGTGACGGGTCAGGTGTCGGCCAACGCCGACCGGTTCGCCATAGACTACGTCCGGTTCACTAACGCCTTCCCACACGTGTTGGACATAGCGTTTCACATGAGGGTATGGTTTGGCCGGACGTGCGTTGATATGAACCACTGTCTGGACGGCGAGTGGGGACACGAGTTGACTGTCTATGGCTATCAGGAGCCGCACGGCTCCAGAGGCGAGCTGTTTATGGGTCGCAGACATGGGTTTCCCTTTTTAAAGGGCGAACACATTGAGGTGACGGTACGGACAGATGTGCGACACTTTACGGTTGAGGTGAACGGCCATCGGTTCACTGATTTCCCGCATAGAGTGCCAAAAGTGTTTGATTTTATCAATGGTTTGATAATTAACGGCGATATCGATGTCCACGACATTAGGTTTCTTCTCGACGATCGCCGAAAGTCATTGATTCCGTCGTAAATTTACGAGTGATAAGCAAAACAATGATATTTGTTTCAACTATATTAACAAAAATTTATATTTTCTAAATTACAATTTATTTCAATTAAAATATACAGTAATTTAAATCTAAACTTTACAATAAAACATTATATTATATAAATATTTGTACAACAAATACTTGATCGGCGACTGAAGTGTCGGACAAACGAACGCTTCTTAGAGTTAGCGATGGTTTGAATGAAGAGTTTGTGTGACTTTTGGTGGTATTGTTGTGACGGATGTATTCATACCAATCATTACCCGCTATTATAGCCGGTATTGACGCCACTAATGGGACACTCATTTCGGACATAAATATTAGATTTAGATTTACATTAAATCATTTGTTTAATGTCTTAAATGTAAACCTTTGCTATATTTCCTATACAAAGCATTCAATCGATACAATGAATATCATTTAAAAAGTAAAACAAAAATTTTACAATTGTACATAAATGACTAAATAATTAGTTAATTATATTGTTGAGCGCGCAATTAAGCTATAATTAAGTTGTAATTTAATTTTAAAATTAATTAAAATATTATTTGAAACATTTATAAAACAAATTCTGTAATTACTAATTAGTATTGAAATGTCATCCACTGATGAGATCAGTTTACTAGTGATTAAAATATTTACATATTCTTCGCTGTGTATAATATTCATATGTCTTTCAATTATTGGCTTATATTCATTGTATAAGTTTTGTTGTAATGCTGACAATAAAGATATTTCTAGTAATGAATTCATACCATACGTGTTATCATATATATTGTATTAAATGTTGTATTAATTGTCTGTTAATAGTGTCTTATTATAAGCAATTGAGGGAAAGGCAGCGAATCGATCGATGGTTTGAAAACCCTAATAATGTTGAACAATTAGAGGAGCAGCAAATATTGTACAGTAAGCCTAAAATAGCTGAGTCAACAGGTTTTGTAATGAAGTCGAGCACGGCTTCAAAAACACCATCATCTAAATCATCAATATTAAAGTCCTCATCAACTAATTCATCAAACAAATGCATAATTTTATTTACACCATAGTTTTATTTAAATTTCAAAATTGTAATAATTATCTGTTGAGTAATGTATTGCCGAAGAATGGGTTCTGTGTTTCGAGTATTGATTAATAGGTATTAAAATCTAAAGTGTTTTAAGCCGTGAATTGTTTGCAACAAATTGTTGTCTCATTTAATAGACATTCGGTTCGAGCAGTGATTCCAGCGATTGGTCTCTCGTATTTTATTCTAAAATGAAGTGGTTTCACCTTGGGGTCAGGTCTGTATAGGTTCAATTCTCACTGTATCTATTATAGCATGGTGGAATGGTTTTTGGTCTAAAATTACTTAGGTTATATTTTTTCAATCAATATAAATATCT